AACTAATGTGCGTAGTTGGGAACGAGTGCAAGGGGCTTTTGGTGCCATACAAGACATGTACTAGTCAGGGAGTAATAAAATACTGTCAGAGACCAGGTCAAGATGAAGGAATGTCTCTGTGGCAGAGGGCTTTGGCCTCAGCGACTTATGCCAGGAGCGCTGTGCCAAGTAACACATCCGTGCCCTAACTTACTAACTGGCAACCAGAACTGAAGGGGGGTAAACTCTAGTCGATTTTATTACTGAGGTGTAACCTATGTACAAGTTGAGTATATATAGTTACAATGAGGGCGGGCCTGCAAATGGCGGAGCCGAGTGGAGCGGAGCTAATGGGTTTAAACATTAGCCGATTGAATATTACCAACAAGCTGGGTCACGGGGTTAACGGAACGGTAGGCGATAACCCAGAAATGGAAAGGAGGGATAGGCCCAAAGGTGGGCTTGCAGGGCAAGCGAATGTATTGCCCAGCAGAGGTGGGAGTGTGCTAGCGGACATCGGAGCTGTCTGGAAGCCTTCGGGGCTCCATACTTAGGGAGGCATAGGTAATAAATTGAAAAGAGGGGGTGGTGACCATCGAGGGATACCGAGGTGATTGTGGAATATGGGAGCTCTGAGGTTAGTGAAGAAGGAGCAGAGGTAGTCCAGAGAGATCGGAGGTAGTGGAAGTTGATGGCCATGGATGGATATGACAGGAATATAGAAATCTGCATCATGCTTAAAGACATGTGAGGGTGGCGATGTGAAGGGAACTGGCTGTCGGAACTGAGATCTGCACTTCAGCAGATCATGAAGACCAATTTCTGTTCAAATCAGGAAGACCCCCATCAAAACAAAGCATGGAAAGTACAAAAACACCTTAGAACATGAGGGAAAAATCTGAAATAAACCAGGCTACAATTGTTATGAGGGTTCCCCTCAAACTGGATGGCTGAGCTTGCAGCGCCTTTGGCACTGCGCTGCAAGCTTGGCCATCCAGTTTGGGAGGAACCCCTAACAAACTGTACTGCAATTTCAAATTAAATATGCTATCTTCATTTGTATGCAAAGTGTTTAGTCCAGGCAATGGTCTATTTGATTGCAGTAAATAAACTCCATACTGTTGGAACAACCATCAGGGATGGAGTAACCTCCCTGGCATAACGGGTGAGTAGTGTATGGATGCACGCTAGAGGTCCTGGGTTTGATACCAGGCTTGTCCATTTTATGTCATTTGTCCAGTCACCCGATTTACATTAGTTGAATTCATGACATAAGTCTATAGCACTAGCAACATGAATTTCTTCACATACTCAATCCAAGAATCTGAGCCATATCCATGAATTCAGTGTCAGGGATCGCTTGTCAGTCCAAGTCAAGTATCACCCAAAAACCTAGTCATAGACAATGTCATATCCCGGAATCCCGACCCCACACTCTCCCACCTCATCACACCTTCCTAACAACTTCATCATCCCCTACACCATAACTCCCCACTCCCGAAGTCACCTTCCTTCCCAACCGTCTCAGCTCCGGCTTGGTTTGCGGCAGCAGCAGCGGCAAAATCATGAGAGTGAGTTCGAAAGAACAGCAGCAAGTTGGCCTTGTACTCACCACAAGAGTCGCAAGAGATTCAGGCGATAAGGAAGGAAAAAGGGGGCACTGTGAAAGCCCTTTTTATAAGCATGGCCTGAATTGTCATGAGCACTCTCGTGATAAGTGAAGTTCAGTACGTACCTCTGCTGGTGTGATCCGCTTCGCGCATCCACGCCAGAAAACCCAGCATACGACTGAGGCATGGTCCCTGGGTCCATCAAATGGTCAGGTTGCGCAGCAACTCATGAAAGTGGCAAAGGGGCAAGTGCAGTGCTGAGACAGGCACATTGGGGTGATTGAGCCAGGGGAAGTCATAGCATTGGCTGGGCCGAGTTCGATCGTCGCCCCGTGATTAGTCTCGTGAAATGAAAACATTAAACAACAATTAATATCCTATTTCATGGGACTAATTGGGGCCGGGCACGTGCGACCTGGAGCAGTCCATCTCGTTCTGCACTGCCGCAGTGCTGATGGATCGTGATGGGTGGTGTTAGAACGGGGCTGATACAGACGACTCCGGAGTGGAATCGGAGACTTAGCGTGGAGGGACCTTGGCCTCAACAACTCAAGCGAAGCGCTGTGCCATTGCTGTTTGTCCATTTGGTCCTTAATTTCACAGTAGGTGAGCAGGAAGTCTCTAGGGGGCATTTCAGGTCGATTTCGGACTGAACCAAAACGAGTATGTACAAGCGCCGATATATATAATGGAGGGGGCAAAAGCACAAGGAAACAAAGGGGAACCGAATCGGAACGAAGACGTCCGAACGGGAACAAAGGGAAGAAGGAGTGGAGCGGTACCGAAGGTCATAAGGCAGGACCTGTGATACGTCCGAAAGGAGGTAGGGAGGGCAAGGCCCAGAGGGGCAGGAGGATGAGGAGAAGTGGGGGTGATGACTAACTGGCTAGAATGGGAAGAAGCAGTAGTCCAAATAGGGGTGAGGGGTAAATGCGAGAGATACATTACAGGCGGCGAAAGTGCCGAAGGCGGTCCGTGAAGCTCGGGAGTTGCGGAGGTTACGGAGGTTACGGAGGCGGGGTTGAAAGTCCGAGGGATATTGGCAATGGTGTTTACGTAGTATGAGGTCACCAATGCAATGGACTAAGACCGAGGTGGAGTCAAAGTCCGAGGTAGGGACTATGACGGAGGCTCGGAGTGAAGGTACGAGCGGTGTCCGAGTAGGAAGTATGGGGCAGCGGCGGAAGGTCGTAACTTGGCAGAAGGGTGGCGGAGGAGTACCAGAGGGAGGAGAGAGGGGAAAGGTAAGGGGGAAGGAGTGGCAGAAAGGAGGGTTGTCAGGTCCGAAGGCGAGTATCGGAGCGGACGGGGGGAAGCGTAGGAGGATGACGGGAGGGTGGAGGTGTTGTGAAGGGGGGAGCGGAGTAGGAGGAGGATGGTGTGAGGGGTGGTGTTCGGTCCGAGGTGAGTATCGGAGCGGATGGAGATAGGGTCGGAGAGGTAAGGAGGAGTAGAGGTGGCGTGGGGGGGTAGAAGGAGGTGTGTTGCCAGGACCGGAGGTGAGTATCGGAACGGCAGCGGTAGGTTATGACTCCGGAGGTGAAGAGGGTGGAGGTCCGGAAGTCGGGTCGGGGTCGGGTATGCACGGATATGACAGGTGGTCCTAACTTGCCTCTAGCATGGCTGAGGTTAAGTTGCTGAGGAAGGGGGAGGTTTGCTCCTTTCCCCCACCTGCTCGCTTGCCTTCGCGCTTGTGCTCGGAGTTACTGGTATGTTTCCCCCAGCACAGCAGGGCTTGTAACTCATGCTAGCTTGCCAGTACCCCCTCTGGTTATTGCGTAGTAATTGCTTTTCCGCTTCCTTCTTACTGTTCTCTGTAAGCATATCTTTCTCCCTTGTTTTCTTTGTCATGATTGCTTGCTGTCAGCTCTTGCTCCAACCTCGCTTGTGCTGCTCTCTCTTCTGCCTACCCTCCACCTTCCCCAACTCCACCTTTGTGACTGGTACTATTATCTCGTTATCATCTTATTGTACCGGCTCGCCCTTGGCCGTTGTATTTCTTTTCTTGCAATCCCATTTTGCGCTGGCCCACGTTGCATCGTGGGCCATGTCCACTAAGTTGGTCGGAACCGATTAGAATGAATACATCCATCCATCCATCCAAGTTATCAGGCGACCTCAACAATTCCCGTCCCGTCCCTCTCTCAAAAAGCGCTCAGCAACGCTGCCAGTATTGACAACATACCATCCAGAGGCCCAGTAATCGTTCCCGGAAGTTCCCCTGGACTATGCAAGTCCAACAACAACAACAACAACCCTCGTCCATTCAGCACGCTTTACCATCACTTCAAAGCATCACCCTTCCTACATCGTCATCCAAGTCTCCCTTCTTTGTCGTTCCAGCAGTACCCCATTTGCAGCAGCCTACTACCTCCAGACCCCAAGCCAAGCCATCTTTTACAATCCCTCACCCAAACCCAGTAAAGCCAGAACAGACCCCTCCATCCCCAAACATCTTCACCTACAAAGCCACAGCGCACAAACATGCCCACCTCTTCATAGCATACTGTTAGAATGCGGGGATTCGGACGACTCCGGAATGGAATCGGAGACTTAGCATGGAAGGACCTTGGCCTCAGCGACTCAGGCGGAGCGCTGTGCCATTGCTGGTTGTCCTAGGGGTCCCTAATTTCGGGTCTAGCAGAGGGAAAGTCTCTTGGGGGAATTCATGTCAATTTCGGACTGAGGTTACAAGTTACTAGGTACATTGTATATAAGGAGGGGTCCGGAATCAAAAGGAACAAGGGTAGGACAAAAGGAGACAAAGGGAGATGGAAAGAGGAACAACACCGAGGGTCAAGTGTTTGACTCAATGGTGTTTCCCAAAGGAGGAATGAAGGGCCAAGGCCCAAGAAGGAAGGAAGGAGGATGGGAGTCGGGAATGGCTAGCTGACTGAATAGAAAGGAAGCAGCAGCCCAAATAGGAATGAGGGAGAATAGCGGAATTGAAATGGACAATGCAATAGTTGCAAGGTCCAGAGTAAGTCCGGAAAGTCCGAACTCGGAGGTTAAACTCCGGAATATTGGCAAACGTAATTAAATGGAATGAGCTAACCAATACAATGGGTATAAGCGGAGGTGGGGTCAAAGTCCGAGGTCGGAACTAAGACCGGAGGTTCCGGAGACGAGACGTGAACGGGATACTGGAGCGGAGGTCCGGAGTTGGGAGCATAGGTTTTGCGTACTCGTCTGGAAGGTGTCGAGGTTGGGGTCGGACCCGGAATGTTCCGGAGTCAGACCGAAGGTGGTGTCCGAGCCGGAGGTGGGATAACCTCTTGGGAGTCGGCAAGGAGAAAGTGATGGAAGGGAAGTAGGGCTCCGGAAGTCGGAGTTCGGAGTTCCAGGAGCCCGGAGCGGAGGTCGGGATTGTATGGATATGACACATACCTCCAAAGGAGAAGACAGTCCAGACTTTGATGTATTTGTTTTGAGATCACACATCCCAAACGCCCGTTACTGACGCAACATTCCCAGTCTTGATCATATGTTATGGCTGCATTCACGCACTCGTTTCAACCAGGTTAGATGAAGCTGCCTGTTGGTAAAATTAACCGTAGCGCTCACATGAGAGGCGCTGGTATTCCAGGTCAGATCTGAGCTGGGAATGCAGACTGGGTCCCCAGAAGGTCCAACCGAAAAGGACGTCACTGAAACTGATGATGAACTTGCTCGTGAGCTACTTTTTGGGTTAACCGGGGACGACCGGTATAAAGGCCTCAGTGCTGATGCGAACCGGTATGTACCAAATGTGGACATTGAGACCGCGAAAGTTCAAAGGGCGAACGCAGAAGGAATGGAGAAGGTTCGCCATTCATTTTCCCCTGCATGTTTTTCCACCCCATGTTGATGTCTCCTATAGGTTCTTACTTCCTTACTCACCCAGCGGTCCGTTGGTTCTCGTCACACTCACGAAGTGAATCCTGGAGTTCCGGGGGTGTTACCAAATGGGGTTAGGATCAGAATTGTGCTTTCTGCTCTTGTCAACGACCTGTTCGCACGTGATCAGCACCTTTTTGGCCCCGATGAGCAACCAGAGAACGTGCTTTCGGGGTTGTCAAGTGATTTGTCGCCCATGTCCATTGCATCAATCGTAGCCAGCGGCACCGCTTCCTCCACTGAATTGCGCTGGGCCCAAATGGATTTTGAACCGTCGCCAGGCGTTCCCATTTCCCTCGCCCCCCTCACTCCGATCTCATCCTTTCAGCAAACTAGGGTCAAGTCCAGCCTTGCCTCGGAATCGAAGTCAGGTGGACCTCCAGCGCGATCTATTTTTTCCTCGATTCCTCGTGGGGCCGGTATGGAGTCTCCATGGGCGCTTGGATCATTGAACAGTCTACTGTACTCACACGACCAACAACCGGTAACGCGTAACGCTGACCAGCCGGTCCGGTTCTTATGCAAGGGTTGTAACGCGTAACGCGAGGCAGCCGGTTGGGTGCCCAGCGTAACGCTGCTCCACCGAGATTTTGGTGGCTGTGAGCTTAATTCAAAATTTCCTTTTTTGGGTTGTATTGTACATTCAAAAATGAAAAATAGCCATTTGCTGCTCTAAGTTACGCGCTCGCCTCACTCGCATTCCACGGCCCAGGTCCTGTTCAGGACTAGATGAAGGGAGAAATGAGACCTCCCCGAGCCCCTCAGCCTCAGCTTCTTCAGCGCATGTTGAAGCGGCCTGAAGGCCACCGTGTTTCACTTCCAAACCATCAGGGACCGTCCTTCCATCCATGTGCTCGAACACTTCATCGACCTCAACATCGACGTCATCATCTGGAGTAGCCGTAAACTCATCTTCATGTCCAACGGGGTCGGAATTGTCACCACCATTGGTTGGTTGCTTCCGTGGTGCCATTATCTCATCAGCGAGGCTTGGATTGGTCGTTGGAAGCTCATCAAGGAGCATGCGAAGTGGGTGGCTAGTTAGGCTAGTATGTGATAAATTGTACTCGCCTGAGCGACATAGCTTGAAGGCCTGAAATAAGTAGTGAGTGGAAGTTCAAATTAGACTCTAATTGACGCACCTTTTGGACCCAATCATGCTGATCGACAACATGGAAGGCATGGAGCAACGTCCCAGGGACACGGTCTCTGAGATCACCAAGTCTTCCATCAAGCTTCACATTGGATGAGTCGATCCCATTCTGCAGCTGTGAATAAACTTCTTGAATAATGACTGACTGCTGCGACTGTTTCACAGCGTGTTTGAGTGGACGCTGAATGCCAACGTCACAGGGTTGCCATAGGCCCGTACATCCCGCAGGGACATATTTGAGGATAATCCAACGATAGTTTTCATACATCCAACTGCGAAACTCAAGAGATGTGTGAACAGACCACACATCAATCTGCCACAGGCACTCTTGAAGGGGGTCGAGCTCAAGCCGCTGCTTTTCAGAACCAAAATAAGGCACTAGGATACAGTGTACAAAAGACTTCATTGTCACCAAATTTGCCCAGTAAGTGTCGTTGCCAGAAAACTCGAAAAGGAAACCAAGTTGCATTGCTTCCTGAAATCCTGGTGCGCTGCCTGAAGGAAGGCTTGCAGCTGTTTTCCCTCGAAAGATGGCTTGAAAGGGCAGAAGCCTCCCACTAGCAGAGATGGCAACATTCAACGTGAATGCGCGCTTCTCTTCATAGCCAATGGTTGAGACTTGACGTGAGCCTTTCATTTCATAAGTTTGGACCGAGTTTTGCTGGTAGATTACTTGAGTCTGATCTGAATTCACTCGGAGTTCCTTAGGGATCATGTACTGGCGGATTGAATGAGCCTGGCGAAGGAGTGAGGCATGGAGTCTTTGGGTGGCGTCAGGTGGGATCTTTTGGGAGGCACGTGTTGCCCGCCGCAACGTCCAATTCATCTCATGTTGGAGAAAGTTGCGAACCCAGTTTGTACTTGCCATAAAAATGCTCCCATCTTTCTTAACAACGGTTTGAAGGATTTGGGGCTCGGTGTGCTCGATTTGCGCAATGATGATGCCTCGAACTTGATGAATATCGAGCACTGCACCTGTTTGCTGGATGCTCATCAGTATCGTTTTGATTGCTGCAACTGTGTCTGGATGGGAGGCCTGGGATTTATTGATAAGTGGAGCACTCTAAAGTCTGGTACCCTAACTTACCAAAATTCCTCTCCTCGTTATGTTTCCCCCTGGACAATTCTCTCATGCAACCTTTGCCAATGTCTCAGCGGACCAACATGGCTGTGACCCACTTCGATCGATCCACTTCCCAACAACATCGGCACGCAAGGAGTGGAAGAGCTGCCAACTCCTTGTTTGACAACCCTTTACGATGTCGGTGGGACTCATCCTACGGCCCACAGTGGCCGTGACCTCTCTAATTATTGTCCAAAAAATTGGCTGAAACCAATTTGTCGCTTTTGCAAGCACCCTCTCCTTCGTCCTGGGAGGCTCTTTCTTGCTGAGCGAAGCCAGGTGAGTGGTCTTTTGTCGCTTTTGTTGCATTAGCCACTCCTGAATCCGGCGCTTGGGTCGCGACATCTCTGCAATAGTGAGATGGGCATCAATCATGGCTGGCATGGAGGGTGACATCACTATCTCATTATTATTGTTAGGATCAGCCTGATCAGAGCACTGGATCAATCACGATCAGTGTTATCATAGAAATCTGCTGTGAGAGTGCCCAATCACATACCTCATCATCTTTGGCATCTGACAGTTTCCTAGAAGCTCGGAAATGCTGTTGTCGTTCTCGTGTCAACATGCGAACTCTCTCTTCCTTTCTTCTGGCTACTCGCTGTGCAGAAATCCAAATTTCTTCGGTTCTCTCCTTCATTCGCTCAACCTGCTCAGCTGATTGGTGTCATATCCATACAATCCTGACCTCCGCTCCGGGCTCCTGGAACTCCGAACTCCGACTTCCGGAGCCCTACTTCCCTTCCATTACTTTCTCCTTGCCGACTCCCAAGAGGTTATCCCACCTCCGGCTCGGACACCACCTTCGGTCTGACTCCGGAACATTCCGGGTCCGACCCCAACCTCGACACCTTCCAGACGAGTACGCAACACCTATGCTCCCGACTCCGGACCTCCGCTCCGGAATCCTGTTTGCGTCTCCGTCTCCGGAACCTCCGGTCTTAGCTCCGACCTCGGACTTTGACCCCACCTCCGCTTATACCCATTGTATTGGTTAGCTCATTCCATTTAATTACGTTTGCCAATATTCCGGAGTTTAACCTCCGAGTTCGGACTTTCCGGACTTACTCCGGACCTTGCAACTATTGCATTGTCCATTTCAATTCCGCTATTCTCCCTCATTCCTATTTGGGCTGCTGCTTCCTTTCTATTCAGTCAGCTAGCCATTCCCGACTCCCATCCTCCTTCCTTCCTCCTTGGGCCTTGGCCCTTCATTCCTCCTTTGGGAAACACCATTGAGTCAAACACTTGACCCTCGGTGTTGCTCCTCTTTCCATCTCCCTTTGTCTCCTTTTGTCCTACCCTTGTTCCTTTTGATTCCGGACCCCTCCTTATATACAATGTACCTAGTAACTTGTAACCTCAGTCCGAAATCGACATGAATTCCCCCAAGAGACTTTCCCTCTGCTAGATCCGAAATTAGGGACCCCTAGGACAACCAGCAATGGCACAGCGCTCCGCCTGAGTCGCTGAGGCCGAGGTCCTTCCATGCTAAGTCTCCGATTCCACTCCGGAGTCATCCGAATCCGCCCCGTTCTAACAATTGGCAATTGTATTCCTCGCGACTTGTAGGGCTGAAGAAACGTAGCAAACCACGACCTCTGTCCTCCTTCTGGATGGTGAGATTCAAGCGTGACTTTCCCTTCTGTTTGCTCATGTTGGATCTGGAATTTGGCATTGCGGCCTCCGCTGCCACTTCTACAGGGGCTACAGGTGCTTCTGGGACATCCATTGTGGTCTCAGGGCCCATGGTCACTTCAGATCTCGCCACCTGGGTGGTCATTGTCAGCGATTGTCAGAGACCAGATTCGAGACGAAGGAATGTCTCCGTAATGGAGGGCTTCGGCCTCAGCGACTTCTGCCAAGAGCGCTGTGCCTAGTGACACGTCCGTGCCCTAACTTACTGACTGGCAATTAGAACCTAGGGGGGTAACTCTAGTTGATTTTTCTACTGGGGCATAACCTATGTACAAGTGGGATATATATATGGTTACAGCGGAGACGGTTCCGCAATTGGCGGAGCCGAATGGAGCGGAGCTAACGGGGTTTAACCATTAGCCGACTGAATATTACCGACGAGTCGGTTCGCGGGGTTAGCGGAAAGGCAGGCGATAACCCAGAAATGGAAAGGAGGGATAAGCCCGAAGGTGGACTCTGCAGGGCAGGCGAGTGTATTGCTCAGCGGAGGCAGGGGTGCGCTAGCGGACGTCGGAGCTGTCCGGAAGTCTTCGGGGCTCTGTACTTAGGGAGGCGTAGGTAATAAATTGAAATGAGGGGGTGGTGACCATCAAGGGGTACCGAGAGGATTGCGGAATATGGGGGCTCCGAGGTTGGTGAGGGAGGAGCGGAGTTGGAACGGAGGGACCGGAGGGACTGGAAGTCGATGGCCGGGAATGGATATGACAGCGATGTCAACAGGAGCCATTTCATCGTAAGTTTCTGGTACGCACGTGTATTGTGTGGTGATCAAGGATTGATTTTAAAAACTCAACATGCAGGGCTGCTGCACTGTCACGGTCATCGGTAGGGAGCGAGTACTGTTTTGGGAGAAGATGATGCATTAGGGCGTTGAGAGCAAAGAAACCACACGAGGAAGAATCATTTTGGTGTGCCGTTGGTAGCCATGCAAGTTGAAAAGGTGTTGAACGCTGATTTGATTCCAAATAGGAAATGTCTAACCACCATTGGAGAATTCCAACGGCGTCACTTGCAGCATGAGATGGATCGTGGTTCCCCGTTGGCTGGTGTTGGGAATCAGCAAGGTGAATTGTTGATTTTGCGGAACAAATCAGGAATGCTATCCAATGAGTACCATTAACATGCATAATTCCTCCGAACTGGGTTGCAGATCCTGATATGAGCTCAGACCCCAACAGGCGGAGGGCCTTGCAAGTACGTTCGCCTCTATATCTCTCGAACCCATTCTCACCCTTAAGTCTAAAACATTGAGATAGGTACTGAATGTCAAGTGGGCTCAGGAGATGCGCCCTTACATCCCCACTCTTTAGGCCAATACCCAAAAGTTCAAGGTGGATTGCAATGTCAGTTGTTGTGAGGCAAGATATAGAGAGGTAACGCATCAGGCCCCCAATAGTGCTTGACACTGACTTCGAGAATCCCAGGACCTTAGTGTTCCAGCTACATAGAAGGAGCCTTTTTTGAGTTGCCCAGATAGCATGCTCCTGTGTTGGGTGGCAGCTTGCCATCATCTTGGCATGTGCCTCCGACTCCTTCCATGCCTGCTGGAGACTCTGTAGCTGTAATAAGGTCTCCCAGATTCGTAAGATGTTGATGGGGACATAGCGTGAATTAATGTTGACTGAGCGGGGCGAGTTGTGGAGGTCAGGATCATACTCAGAAATGAGTTTTTTTATGGAGGAATGGGGTGGGCAACACATGCTGCGGAGGTCACATTCGGATAATTCATTGATGGATGGAAGGTGGCGACTGAGATTTGCAGCTGGCCCACATGAGCTTGTCTGGAGGATGGGAAGGTTGAACCGAAGAAACTGGGTGATAGAGAGGCTTTCCTCTGGAAAGTAGGGTCCAATGAGAGCGCTTGGGATGTCATCATATGAGATAGTGTTTTCTGTGCAGAACATGATGTGATGTGCAAGGGCAAAACCATCCATGGTGGCGAACAGATGCTTGAAAATTTGCAAGGGGGCACTGTCTTTTCATTTGTAATTAATGATTAATGAACAAAACTGCCAAGCGTGACCAATTCTGAACACGTCAAAATGCCTTCCATAACCAGCAGTCAGTCAGGTGTCCGGTTGGGTGTAACGCATAACGCTGGGTTGCCGGTTGGTGGTTTTGCGAAACTTTTTCCCACGCTTTCACGTGACCCGGTTGTTGGTCGTGCGAGTACAGTATCTGCAAGGAGACCCGAGTCGGCATCGGCATCCCACTCCGTTTCTAGCCCGCCCTTTGCTTCATCATCTTCGGGGTCGCATGCAAGCCGAGGCCCTCGAGTGCGCAAAGCTGTCGGGCGTTCTCGGGATTTGTACAATTCTGGAATTCGAAGGTGTTGGCCCATTTGTGCAAGTCACCTGACGGATTTTGATGAATGTCCACCTGAGTGCCTTCACGCAGAGGCCTATGCAGCGGACAAGAATGGTCTCCTTACACTATTAATTCAAAGAAGCCTGACCACGATCGGTTCAGGGTTGCCGGACCCCGGCATTCCATTGCGCTCTGCTATTCCTCAGTTTGTCCTCAACGACGTTAACGACAAGGGCGAACCAAAGGAACTCGCCATCAGCGGAACACGGATGGCTGCACTTTTGCCGCGATTCCTCAGGCTATCTGCCTTCGTCGCTCGAGAACTTGGTTGTGAGATGCGTGAGCAGCGGCAGCAATTCGCTGATGTGAAGGCCGGGACTGTCATACCTGCGGAGCACTTCTATTGCTGACATTCCTTCCACCACTGGCGACGGGCGCCCCACCCGCATCTGGTATGCCTTACTGAGTGGTATGGTCACTAGGGCCGCTTTAGAGGGATACCTGGGACGTGGTTGGTTGGGGCCCGATGCTCTTGAAATCCTTTTTGGTATTGGGGTAGGTGTGGACTGGGAAGATGTTGTTGAGAAACCTGACGAAAAGAATGTTCCCGCAATGCGTGCCCGCTCGGGATCGACCTCATCCGACGTGAAATCCGTGGAGGATGATGGAGTCAGCCAGAAGCGAGGATCGATTGACACGTCACTTTCGGAAGCTTACGCTGCCCAGTTTGAGCCCGATGGCATGCCTACGTTAGCCGAGGCTGCGAAAATTCTCTTCAAGCGTGGTATTCCTACTGGCGTCGCGGGTACTCAGTCAGAGTTGAGTGTTATCAACTCCTATGCGAATGGATTCCAGACCACATGTTTGGGAAACACACGCCCCATTGACACTGATCCTGAATGGGCGGTTGAGATGACTGAACGTGTCTCCGAGGTTAGTTTCCTCAAGGCGAACTTGATTCTCTTGCTAACTATCCATATCCTCAGTTTGCCAGTGTGCACCATATGACCGACCTTCACACGCATTTGCTTGACCTTTCGAAGCGATATCCGGCTGAGCCTGTTGAACGTGCAGCTCTTCGATTCTTGGAAGCCATTGCTCAGTGGCGTGGTCTACCAGAATTGGAACAGGTGGGTCCAATCATCTGGTCGTGCCCATAATTTGATTGCTAACTGATCCTCCGACCCCACAAGTACAAGGAACGTGTTCGAAAAGCCAATACCGTTGCGACGCAGCCCTCGGCTTCTCTGGAGCGCCGCCGTGGTTCTCTGTCCATTTCTTCTCTCGTGCACCCCACAGAGACATCTGACCCGACCTTTGAGCCCAGCTCTTCCGCTATCTCATCCCAGTTAAATACTCCCGTTACTTCTCCTGTCCTTAAATACTTTGTCGTCCCGAAGCATGTCATCGCGTCTCTCCCTCCTTATCCCTCAAAAAAACGCGTGCGCGATGAAGGCCCTGAGGCTGAAGCAAAGCGATTAAAAACCCCTCGTGTAGGTGCATCATCATCTGCAACCGCTGCAGCTAATACATCTCTACCTGGAATCCTATCTGCACCTGCAACCCCTCTGGCTGAATCGGCCTACGGTGTTTAATAGGAAGCATAATTTCCTGTCTCCTCCCGATGTACATGTATATAACCTCAGTTGAAAATGGACAAAAAGCCTCGACTCATCGCTTTGTTATTTTGCACTTAAAAACTAGAGTGCGTTCTTCGCACGCGCAACGTTTTTAACTAAATTTTAATACTTAAGTGCAGTGCAAAGTATGCATTGGAGACATGAAAATGATTTGTTAAGTCCCGGCGATGCGAGTTCAGCGCGCGCCTACAGAAAACATGTTTGTCTCGAATGATGAAACGAAAAGAGAGCCATTAGTGGCAAAGGAAATCGAGTTAGAGTTAGAGGTGGAGCAAAGTGCTCACGTGTAGGGCTCCTCGCGGATCGGATGATCTGCGGATATCCGCAACCGCATCCGGAAATTCACGGATCCGGTTTTGGATTTTCAGAGGAAAATAACCGCGGTTTTTAATCCGCGGATTATCCGCAGTTTTATCACATGATTTATTGCTTGCAGATATGCAGGAGATCTGAGGCAAATAAGGGTGAAATTCCCCATATTTACTGTAACTGCTACTCTACTGTGGCTTTTGAGAGGATAATATCCGCGGTTTCTAGTCCGCAGATAGGCGGATTATCCGTGGATTAAATATATCCCACTTTCCTAGATACCCCTCCTATGTTTCCATATTTTCTCCCAATTTTTTCAAGTCCAATCTAACCACCCAGGCCCGTTATTTCCAAATTTGGCATCTGACACCCATCTTTTGTGCCATTTTCCCCATATCTCTGTCAGTTCTCCACCAATATGGACATATTTGGTATTGTTAGAAAGCTCTTATCAGGGCCGTTCCAACAAAATATAATTTTGGAACATAATCCGCGGTTGATCCGCATATCCGTGGATTTCTAACCGCCGGATACGGTTTTTGTTTCAAACCTCTAAAAATCCGCGGATTCTGATCCGGATCCGGACCGATCCGATCCGCTAGGAGCCCTACTCACGTGGCATACCCAGCAACAGATTCGATGTCGGAGTTAGTTTTGTGCAGAGATTGATGCATATCGAAAGTCATATGCAACTAGTGACGAGGTTAGGCCTGCCACTAGCCATGAAATCATTGGAGTCCGTGACCTCGGAGACAAAGAAGATGTTGTAAACGTGGCGTAACCCACTCGCAACCCAGATGTAATATAGAAATGAGAAGAGAAACTGTAACTAACTAAAGAACATATGGTGCCAAAGCACCCACATTTATACTCCTGAATAACATTCTATGCCCAGCGCTTACGCAGGCACCTAGAATATTCTCGGATATTCCGGTTCAATCTAATCATGTGACTCGTATTCCAACAGAAGAGACAACAGGTAGTGAAGTGCTAGCAAACAAGGGGGGGTCATTCCAGACTCCTTCCCAGTCGCTCACATGATTTCTCCAAGGTTTAGCTGCAACTTACATTGCCTCCGAAATCTGTCAAGCGACTGGTACAACTTGCAACACATGATGTTCCCATGCTAAGTTGTAATGAGCTGTGCATAGGTTGCGGAATATAATTTGTAGTATTTATGCATGTGGTCATTGCACCCAACCCAACCCGTGGAGACTAAGGGAGCACATCCAGGGTTGTGAAGTCAATATCCGGGTGTGTGCGAAGTTTAACAGTTTATATATTACTTGGTTACCAGTCACTTGTTTGTGCCTAGTGGCATAAGTGGTATAGTGTTAGTGTCATATCCACACATACTGTCATATCCATACAATCCCGACCTCTGCTCCGGGCTCCCGGGACTCCAAAACTGACTCCAGAGCCCTACTTCCCTTCCATCACCTTCTCCTTGCCGACTTCCAAGAGGTTATCCCACCTCCGGCTCTGACACCACCTTTGGTCCGACTCCAGAACATTCCGGGTCCGACCTCATCCCCAACACCTTCCAGACGAGCACGCAACACCTATGCTCCCAACTCTGGACCTCCACTCCGGAATCCTGTTTGCATCTCTGTCTCTGGAACCTCTGGTCTTAGCTCCGACCTCGGACTTTGACCCCACCTCTGCTTATACCCATTGTATTGGTTAGCTCATTCCATTTAATTACCTTTGCCAATATTCCAGAGTTTAACTTCCAAGTTCGGACTTTCTGGACTTACATTGGACCTTGCAACTATTGCATTGCTCCATTCAGTTCTGCTATTCTCCCTCATTCCTATTTGGGCTGCTGCTTCCTTTCTATTCAGTCAGCTGTCCATTCCCCACTCCCATCCTCCTTCCTTCCTTCCTTCTTGGGCCTTGGGCCTTCACTCCTCCTTTGGGAAACACCATTGAGTCAAACCCTTGACCCTTGGTGTTGTTCCTCTTTCCAGCTCCCTTTGTCTCCTTTCGGAGTACCCTTGCTCCTTTTGATTCTGGACCCCTCCTTATATACAATGTACATAGTAACTTGTAACCTCAGTCTGAAATTGACTTGATTTCCCCCCAAGAGACTTCCCCTCTGCTAGATCCAAAATTAGGGACCCCTAGGACAACCAGCAATGGCACAGCGCTCCACCTGAGTCGCTGAGGCCAAGGTCCTTCCATGCTAAGTCTCCGATTCCACTCCGGAGTCATCCGAATCTGCCTGATCTAACACATACCCGATCCTGAACTGACCTGGACCCTCATCCTCATCACCTCTGGAGTCCTACCCTACCTCCATCTGTTCTGATATTCAACTTCAGACCGAACATCACTCCTCTCACCACCCTCCTATTACTCCTCCTCACTCCTCACATCACCTCCACCCTTCCATCCCTCTCCTACCCTACTTCTGTCCGCTCCAATACTTGCCTTCAGACCTGACACCATTCCTCCTCCACTCCTCTCATCACTCTCCTCCCTCTGACCCTCTTCTGCCAAACCTCCAGCAAGTTATGACCTTCCACCGCTGCCCTGTACCCTTGTCAGGGCACGCTGCTCCACTGTGCGCTGCAGCACCCTCCCGTTGCCCCTCTTTCCTTCTCTTCCCTCTTTCGCTTTCTCCTTTGTCTTTCTTCTTTCCTTTTCTCTCTTTATACAGACGACCTCTCCTCTCACCTGTGTAGCACGGACACGCCTGACACTGAGTACTCCATGTGGGTACTGCGCTGCCAGGTACACCATGCATCCTCATTTGTACTTCTTTCCTCTGACACTTGGGATCGCCTGTGGAGTCATCCGCAATAGCCCGGCTCTACCTGGGCTGATGTGGCACCCCACACGTGACCCGTTCCCACCTGTATATAAACTGAGCCGAAGCAGAACTGCTTCTTCTCACTACTGCTTCAGGAAAGTACCTTACTTTAGTTTAGTTTAGTTTAGTTTAGCCTTTCATCCTAATGACAATCACTACTGCTTCAGCCTAAGAAGCTACATAGGGACATAAGCCCAGAGAAGGGCTGCCCACCATACAGTCTCACCACCCCGCTGCCATCCAGGCTGCTAGTGCTGAGCTTTATGCTGCTACCTCCGCCTCTCTCGAGCCGTCCCTGACAACCCTGTACTCAGACACTGCTCGTACCTTTGCTCCGAGATTCCATCATAGTTCCGACCACGGACTTTGACTCCACCCCGGTTGCATTGGTGACCTCATACTACATAAACACCATTGCTAACATTCCTTGGACTTTCAACCCCACCTCCACAACCTCCATAAGCTCCGCAACCTTCAAGCTCCATGGACCTTACTTGGCACTTTCGCCGATTGTAATGTATCTTTTGTGCTTTCCCCTCATCCTTATTTGGGCTGCTGCTTCTCTCCATTCTAGCCAGTTAGTTATCATCCCCACTTCACCTCATCCTCCTGCCCTCTGGGCTTCACCCTCCCTATCTCCTTTCGGATGTACCACAGGTTCTAACCTATGACCTTCAGTGCCGCTCCACTTCCGTCACCCCTTTGTTCCCGTTTGGACGCCTTTGTTTCGATTTGGACCCCCTTTGACTTCCTTGTGCTTTTGTCTCTCTATTATATACAGGCACTTGTACATACTTGTTTTAGGCCCTCAGTCTAAAATCGACCTGAAATGCCCCCTGGAGACTTCCTGCTCACTGCCTCTGAAATTAAGGACCAAATGGACAAACAGCAATGGCACAGCACTCTGCATGAGTCGCTGAGGCCAAGGTCCCTCCTTGCTAAGTCTCCAGTTCCCCTCCGGAATTGTCTGCCCTCGCCCAGTTCTAACAGTTAGCTGAGGGTATGCAGTTTTTTTAAGTGGCACATGTTCGATTCTCACTTAGGAAAACTTTTTTCAGGCCCTCCCATGGAATAATTGTGTGAAATGGTTGTTTTCTGTACACTAAGGAGTGGAGGGTATTGAAAAAAAAGTTTTCCCAAGTGAGAATTGAACATGTGCCACTTGAAAAAACTGCATACCCTCAGCCAATGCTGTACCACTTATGCCACTGGGCACAAACAAGTGACTGGTAACCAAGTAATATATAAACTTTTAAACTTCACGCACACCCGGATATTGACTTCACAACCCTGGATGTGCTCCCTTAGTCTCCACAGGTTGGGTTGGGTGCAATGACTGCATGTGTAAATACTAAAAATTATATTCCGCAACCTATGTACAGCTCATTACAACTTAGCATGGGAACATCACGTGTTGCAAGTTCTACCAGTCGCTCGACAGAGTTTGGAGGCAATGTAAGTTGCAGCTAAACCTTGGAGAAATCATGTGAGCAACTGGGAAGGAGTCTGGGGTCATTCAGGAAATGCTGAACCCCATGTTAGTATGATAGTTACTCTGCACACAGAGTCACCCCACAGGTAATATTACACAATTTTCGATGCTGAAAATTTGTCATCATCTTCCCCTTTACATATGTTTTCTTACATTTCTTTTGCACTTACGTCATCCATGTTGTCTGCCAATATCAGACCTGTGTGCAGGCATTCTTGGATGTGTGCTCATCCACTGCTAGTATGATAGCTAGCGCTTTATCTCCCAGCAGCAATATACATGCGCTGCTGTTATCTTCATTGTCCTTTGAAGACTTCTGAGGGCATCTCAGCATCTCTG